AGGAAACTGTTTACTGAGATAATGAATCAAGTTATCCATAAGACTCCATACTATCAGAGTGTCAATGTTCAGAGCTGAGAGCCACAGACAGGAAGTCAGACAGTGTTGAGAAACTGATTTATAAAATGTTGATGTTGGTTTTTCATTGAGTTTTTTTGACAATAAGAGAAAGTAGAATTACAGGAGACGGATCCTTTAAAACCTTCAGATTAAACACAGATAATGTGATAGAAACCAACAAACCAAAGAGAAATGAACTTTTCCAATGCAGACCTGCCAAAAACCAGCAGTTTATTCAGACTGGTGCAAACAGGGATGAAGATAATAATAATGATGATTGTAAACTGTTACACTAAAACCCTTCTCCACCTTTTTATTATTATCTGTGGTTGACATGTAAACTGTCTCTGGTTCGCTGTGTGCCTTTTTACAAATAAAGATGAAGTAACAACATGGCTGCTGGCGAGAAACGTGCAGCTGTTACTGTGTTTTTATTTCCTCAGAGAGATTTAACCTGTTTGAAATGGTTTTAATCTCCACTGTGGAACCTCACAGCAGATCTCAATAACAGAAATTAACCCTCTAAAACACATGGAGTCAATCAATCAATCTGATCAGCTTTTACTATCATTTTAATTTAATTAAGTTAATTATGTAATCTTTATTTGTCCTGTGAACATAATCAAAAAGTACTTAATCAGGAATGTTTCTGTTAGTGTCACTTAAAGTTTATAGTAAAAGCTGTTAAACTGAGAATGTTTAACTTTTTAAATTGAGTTTGTGTTACTTAACATTTCCACTGGGATCCATTTCAACAATTTATAACAATTTATAATGAGTAATAAGAACTTATAGAACCTCTACATGGACCTTGTGGTGACACTGAACACACACACACACACACACACTCTCTCCTCCTTTGCCTTCATCTTGCAGTTGATTTACTGGAATCACTGCTGCGTTCGTTAAATCCTCCCAGAGAAGAAAACGGCGTCATTTCCAGCTGAATGGAGGATTAAAGGCTGACAGGCCTGGGAACGGCTCCCCGGGGCCGTAAATCCGCCCCGGTCAGCCGACACGGTTCTCACGCCGGGACGCCGCTTTGAAGTGACCGGCGGCAAATTGGGTGACATGAGCCGGTCAGAGCTTTCCATACAGAGGCACAGAGAGAGGCAGACAGAGGAGGATAACAAGAGGAGGACATGTGAGGAGACACTGGAGTAACAACAGCTGCTGTTAAAACACCGGCACACAAAGTATTAACAGATAATGTTTCATGTTCAGGACAGAACTCATCACGCTCCTGTAACACCGTCAGACTCAACACAAACACATATATGGTTGTTTTTATTCCACACATTCTTCTTTCTTGTTAAAACCTGGGGCCTACATTACCCACAATGCAAGTCTAAGGTTTGAGTTACTGCAAAATAAAAATGTAATTGACTGTTTGACAGTAAAAGACCGTAAACTAAATAAATGTTTCTGCAACAGTAGAACTACTGTGATATCTCCGGGAAAAAACCTTTATTTATACGGAATAAAGTTTTTTTTTTAATTACAGACTGAAAACTGAAAAGAAAGACACTGCGACCACCTTCTGTTTTTTATTTGATTTTTTTAGAAAAGGAGACAAACAGCAGAAAGTAAAAGAAAATGTAAACCAGAGTTAATGTGAGAATCAGAGGTTTGTTTCCTGCTTCACTGCGACATTAAGGACACCATTTTATTGGGACTTAAAATCTCGATCCAGTAGCCGTCGGGATCCTGAATGAAGGCGAGATCCTTCATTTTACCTGTGAGTTGACATGGTGGCAGTTAGTATAACTTTATTCTTTGGATTCCAAAAATCTAAATGTTTTGACTTTTTAAAAAAATCCTTAACTTTTTATTATTTATTGATTCGGTATTAATAAGCTTCCATATGTTGTAAATAAAACATTAAATTGTGATTAATAAAGTAAACGGAGCCATCATCAGTTCTAACACACAACCTGCTGAACCAGAGCGCCACCTCCTGGTGGAAACAACCAACAACAGCTGACACATTTATTAAAATATAATCATAATTATTTAAACATTTGTTTTTTAAAATCTAGACTTGGCTGATTATGATTTTTCACAGTTTACACTTTGTTATGCATTACAGTTTATATAGGAACAGCTGAAATTATTAGTTGATTAATCAGAAAATTGGAAACTTTGATAGTTAATAATAAGTCATTTTTCATGTAAAATATTTATTGGTTAATGAATGTGAGAACAGTAGAGAAGATTTACTGTTTAATGATTTAATGCAGTGAGGAACTGGAAGTCGTCTCACCTGAGTCAGGTTTCTTGACAAAAGTCACTTTTTGCTCTTCAAATATTTTGCAGGCGGCGTGAACATCAGGAACAGCAATACCGATGTGACCTGTACCCAGAGAGAGACGGATCGAACCTTTTATTCATTATAGAGAATTATAACAATGTAATAAATCAATATTATAGTATATTTAACATAATAAAGATAATAAAAGGATAAAATAATCACTCCATAGATACTTTAACTTGTTTACAAGCAGTGAAATCTACATAAATCTTCTCACCAAATCCTCGCGGTTCGTTGTTCCCGTTATGGTACGACAGACTTTCATCTAACTCTGAACCCCAGTTACTGAGAGACAGACAGACAGACAGACAGACACAGACAGACAGACAGACAGAGGAACAATATTAATTAAAAGACTCATTGTGTGTATTTGTAAGTAGATGTAGGTGGAGATCAGTTGTGATGGTCCCAGTGGAAGGCTGGAATCGGTCCTACGAGGTTCTTGCATGAGGCCCGTTGTCTCTTTCGGAATAAGGTCAGAAACTGTTCAGTGTAGGTGATCCTCGTGGTCGTCATACGTACTGCGTGAGCTCTATGGTGGCGCGGCGAGAGAACGTCCACGCTGTCCTGTCTTTGATGTCGGCCGGGATGTCCGACTTCTCCTCGTAGCCCAGGAAGTATAGTGTGAACCGCATCGAGGGGAAGTCGATTTTCTGCAGCAAGCTGATGGAAGAAGCCACAGGCGGTTAATGTCTGGGTCGGAGAGGAATGAAGTCCGGATCAGGAGCGGTTTGAGGACTCACGTCATGCCGAGGATCCGAGTGTAGAAGTCCAGAGATCTCGCTGGATCTTTGACCCTCAGCATCGTCTGCTGCATCATGTAGTCCTGCAGAGAAATGAAACTTTAAAGCTGCACCGATCAACATTTTTATATAAACTCGCACATATTCTGAGGCTCTGTAAGGAGCTTTTAGCCTCTTTTAGCCTCTTTCAGCTCAGAGTTTTGGTGTTGTGGAACATACAGTCAGTTAGATCATTAAAGGTCTCAACAATGTGTTTATTCTATGTTTACGTCCCCTTAAACGTCCAACCCTAACTTACAACCCTAACTTAACTGACTGCATCTTGGCCGAGAGGTATCAAAAGTCACAAATCCACGGTAACGGACTCTGTGACGTGTTTTCTGCATTGATTTTGAGGCTTCAGCAGTTTGTTGATTCCTCTCAGCCACCGTCGATTTCACTTTACTGACTGAATGTTAACCATCTCCATAGGAACTGGTCAACCTAACGAGCAGCGGTGGGTGTGGCATTCATACATCCAGAATGTGTGACAGTAAAGTAAATATGAACTATAACAGTATTTTTAAATACTTTAAAACTTTAATATAGTGAAAAATGTGAGTGCAGAGGAAGAAAGAAACACCTCTTTAAACGCTTCACACATGAAATTACACACAGATGGAGCAGATCTTAGTACATTTACTCAACTATACAATTTTGAGGTACTGGTACTTTGAGTATTTCCATTTTCTGACACTTTGTACTTCTGCTGCACTCAGAAGTAAAGTATAGTTCCTTCCTTTGTTCCTTTAACTGTATCTGTACTGTATGTTCTTTTTCCTCTGGTTGAGCAGAGTCTGTGGGCAACGACTCCTCAACAGTGATTGACAGCAGCTTGGTGATTCCCCTCTCAGCCAATCAGGATGTGACGACACCCGTTCTTCAGAGGCAGGGAATCGCTCAGACTGATTCTGATTCATTTCACAGGATGTTGATACTGAAACAATCCTCTGTTTTACAGTTAGGACACTATGTCAAACTGGCTTTAAAGCCCAGCGCTCTTCCTGCAGGGAACCCATGTTCATTCAGATATCTTGAGGTCAGAGGTCAAGGGATCCTGGCACATAAACCTGAAACCATCTACACAGCCAGATAACACTGGAAGAACACAATGTTTAATGTACATTTGTATCCTGTTTCTGACTTTAGATCCTTTAAAGCTCCTCAGAGCCTGAGCTCCGTGTGGCCTACAGGTTCCTACAGGTTCCTACAGGTTCCTGCAGGTCTCCCAGAGGAACCACAGCCAACAGGTCCGACTGCATTACAACCTCACACAATGTGACACAGAATCAAAGAATCAAACACATGAAGTTAAAACGCAGACGTCACCTTGGTGATGGGATCTCCTTCCTTACAGGCAGCAGTCACAGCCTCGTCCGACAGTCCTCCTGTGTCCGCCATGGCTCCCAGATCAGATCAGACTGAAGACTCACTCAGACCGGCTCCTCCAGACGCTCCTTCCCCCTGCTGCGTTCAAGTGCTGCTCGTAAGACTGTACTCTCTGATGTGATCATGCTTGCTGATGCTTTTGAGTGCAGAAATAAAGAACGAGCATCCATCACAGGAAGGTTTTCGTTTTAGGGAACATGGAGACATTACACATTACTTATAAAGCCTCACGTGGGTTGACTCCATTATGTGTTTCTATTTGAAAGCTTCATTATTAACTGATGAGAAAGTTAAATTGGAACATCATTATAACAGGAAACGTTAACATAAATTAGGTTTAAATAACAAAAAAACTCACAAAACATCATTAATGTAATAATAATAATAATGTGTAAAAAGTGTCAAGAAAGGAGAATTTTTTTTATTAACGGCAGCAAAACGACTCAGTGTCGTTGGGAGGAAACTATTTAACACTTTCTTGTAATATTGTATTTTGATGTTGTTTGACGCCTCCTCTCTGCTCCTAAAGTCCCAGTTTACCGGTTTCTGACAGACCCTAAAGGCAGCAGGAGTCCTGTGACCACTCCCCTCAACACAAACTCCTGCTGCCTTCAGGGCCTGACTCACCTATTGTAAATGCAACGCCCACAGAGAAATGCCACAGAGCACAAACAGTCCAATCTTCAATCAACATCCACATTCCACCTGCTCCACCGAGCACAGACGCTCTGATCTCTGCAACTTCAAACTGCTGGGAATTCACACAAAGTCAGAACTAAAAGCACTAAAAGTTCAGAGTCTGGCAGGCAGCGGTTTTATTGCCCTGTAAGACTCCAGTGAGCTGCACAGAATTATATAAGCAGCTGGTTTGGGGGGATGGAGGCTCTACAGGGAGGAAAGGGCAGTAAACAGGTCTGAACAGGTACCAGACCGAGTGAGAACTGAGGCTTCAGACTCACATTAACACACCTGGTTCAGGACCAGATTCAGGCCCACTAATTACCCTCACACCGGTCCCACAGTACATACTGCACACATTAGTGGTGGTAAACATGTTTGTTTTCCCATTGAATCAGTAACCACTGTGGCTGCAGTTCCTCTCCCGACCACCAGAGGCTCCAGCAGTGAGTCTGCCTCCGTATTAACCTGCACAAATAAACCTGTTTACAGCCTGCTGGTCTCTAGAGCTCACTCCCCCGTTAAAGACAACTCTAATTCATGTTTTAGTCTGTACACTGATATAGGCGAATAGAAATAACATGAAAATAATAAAAATGAAAACAATAACAGGCTAAAACAGCACTCTGCTCTATATTTCTAGAGTAAAACAAACTGAATCTTTTTAGCATTTTAAGTTTGTTGCAACTTCACCACAAGATGTCACTAAATCCAACAACGGCTCCTTTGAAAGTAGTTTAAAGTGTCTCCAGTCGCAGCTGTGTGAACATTTGGGTTAACGTACACAAACCAACAAAATCCAGAAGTCTGTACGTGTTTTTACACATTTTAATGTGGAAATGTTACAACTTTAAATTATCTAGGTTAATTTGTATCATCCACGTTTCCAATGCCAGTCGTGTTTGCTTTGAAAGTGCAACCTGTATTCAAACAGTGTGACGTTGTAGTAAGTGTGCGCAGGTCGCTCACTTTATCGTATGTTTCATAAAAAAAAAGAAGAATAAGAGAAAGAGGAGTTCAGTGTGCTCAGTGGTAGCTGCGGGCCTGCTTGCGGTTCTCCAGCAGCAGAACCACCAGCCGGTTCTTGAGCGTGGGCAGTTTGCTGCTGTAGCTCTGCTGCAGGACGGAGGTCAGTTTGCAGCGGAGGCTCTGGAGGCTCGGCAGGGAGACGCAGTCCGGCACGTTGAGCAGAGTGTGGAAGAACTCCTGCCACAGGTCGCTGTGGGGGTTCCTGTGGACCAGACACACAGAACGGCTTATTACGTAAAGCTGAATGACAACATGACTGAAGTTATAATCCTTTATTAAATCACCTCAAAACTTTAAAATCTTTGAAACCATTTATGGTTTAAAAACCTTTTAACTGTGGCAGAGTCCGCCAGTTCTGAGCTGGATTCAAATTACTCACACATCCTGTAATTCAGTTACTTCTGTTTTATTGTGATTGGATTGTTTCAGGAGACAACAACAGACAGGTTGTATTGTTTATATATTCTTTATCAAACTTTTGTAAAACGTTATCAAAATCATTTTGTAGGAAACAAATTCAATAAATGAAAATGTAAATGAGCCATAAAGGAAACAAAATCAACCCTAAATTACCTTCTAAATACGCCGTTCGTCTTCCACACGCCGTCTTCGTTTGTGACTTGCATGTACGTCCCAAACAGCATGCAGTAGACGGTCCCTGCTATCCCGAAGTAATCCGTCTGAACACACACACACACACACACAGTGAGAAACTAATTCAAAATGTCTGAATTTGCTAACTAATTTCAGTTTTGCTGCCTGTGAATCACAATGTACCACTATCTCTGTTCTGCTGTATTAATATAAAACTTAACTAACTCCGTCCGTCCTCACCTGATAGTTCCAGGGTTTCCCGCTGATCATCTCCGTACACTGGAAGCCCGACGTCAGACACTTGCCGGTGAAAGCAGTGCCTTCTGGGTAAAGCTCCATGTCGATGCTCTGTCCGAGGTCGATGAGGACGAGGCCGTGGTCCACGTTCTCCGGATCGAAACACCTGTTCTCCAAGAACCTGAGACAGAAACAACCGGCTGTTACATACTGTGAAAACAAACGAGGAATCCTCCCACTGATCTGGATTACTGCTCGCTACCTCTCCCCCAGCAGGAAGTTGTCGGGTTTGATGTCGGCGTGGACGACGTGGATGCGGTGCAGCTGCTCCACCATGTTCAGCATGCAGACGGTGAAGTACATGACGAGAGGCTGAGGCATCACCTTGTCGCTCAGGGTTTTATAGATGTTCACTGCGTTCTGAAAGTGGAGCCACAGTGTCAGGATACGACCCATAAGAGATCCATAAAATAAGAGTTTGTGTTCATTTCATTCCACAGGTTACATTTAAGACTTTATAAGACCTTTCTGAATGCAGTATTTTACGTCCATACTGGCAATAAAATGATATGAAGGAAATCCTGTATTGGCTCCACACAGAACGATCAATACACGTTTCCTTAAAAACACATTTAAAAGACTGAAACATTAAAAAAAGTAGCTTCATTAATCCATCAGAATGATATTTAAGATGTTTTAAGGCCTAAAATTCAGATGATGGGATGTTAGGTGATCGTACCAGCAGCGTGCCGTAGTTGTGAAGCTCAGCGAGCAGCACGCTTCCGTTGTGGAAGAGGTGAGCCGAGTGGACGCAGCTGTACAGGTGACGGACGTCGGGCCGCAGCCGGGCGTCCAGCTGAGTGTTGATGTAGAACTCCCAGGGATAGGCTGGCTTCTGAACCTGCAGGGACAACCAGGAGACAAAGAGTCCGTCCACTGTGAACACAGTCGGGTTCAGCACAAATACCTGAAGCTTCTGAGGTCACCGCCAGCTTACCTTTAACACCATCCTCTCTGAGGTCACAGGGTCGGTCGCCTGGTAGACTTTAGCAAACGCACCTTCTCCCAGGACACAGTCGACTCGCAGGGACGCGTTTCCTGTCAGACAGAAAACATTTTAAATTCAACTCATCACTTCAGCTCAGAGTTCATCAGAAACACGAGCCGCTCTGTTTACCCATGCTGAGGGTGGTCTTTGGGGCGATGTTGGGCACGTTGCACCTCCAGGTGGTGCAGCGGGGGTGAGAGGTGAGAGGCGGGGTGAGTCTGGACAGCAGGTCAGACATCAGTGCGTCGTCCCAGGGGTCCGACACCAGCGGGGACGTGGCGGTCCTGGCCGGCGTCGTGCTCATGGACACGTCGGTGCTCAGCCTCGGCCCTCTGTCCGGACTCATCATGGGTTCGTCCGCGGCGCTGAACTGCGGCGCCGGGCTCATGGGCACGTCGGCACAGAGCTGCAGCTGTCCGGGACTCATGGGGACATCCCGGCTCTTGTTCAAGTCTGCTTTCTTGACCCGACGGGGACTCAGGAAGGCGTCCAGGTCCGGCTCAACTGTGAGCTCGGGGCTTCTGATGGCCAGCCACTCGGGTTTGATAGCACCCTCCGGGCTCATGGGGACGTCAAACACTTTCTGGTCTCTTTGTGGGCTGGTGGGTTTGTCCAAATCCTCCATGATCGAAAAAGGTTCGTTTCTGGGTCTGACTGAACTCTGGGGCTGCTGCGAGATCAGAGAGACCTGCTCGGGGCTCGCGTACACTTCCCAGCCGGGCCCTGCGGTCCTGGAGACGGAGGAGTCGGCGGGACAGATGGTCTGGTCTCTGAAGGAGAGCACACCTGGAGGAGGGGGCTGCACCATGGTGATGGAGGAGGAGGTGAGGCCGAGCTGGGCTGGGCCGAGCCCCTCGCTGACGATGGTGCCGTGTCTCTCAGAGGAGGGGACCAGCTGACTGACGGCCGTCTCAGAGAGCTTGTCGTTGGACGGACTCTGCTCCATGATGGGGCTGAGACACACACAGACAGTTGTAATGTGTAATGTGTTTTCACTGTTATTAACTTGCTTCATTTACAGCTGATTTGAATATTTCTAAAGGCCGCTGACACTCTGAGAATGGAGCAGGGACGGAGTGGTTACCTGAGCTTTTTCGGCTGTCGTCTGATAAAAGCTTCATCACCAGTGTCACAGTTGTTCTCTGGAGAGAAGAAAGAGAGAGAAGTTATAAATTAGAATAGCTTCAGCTGAACTTTGTGTCAGAAACATGAAGAGAATAAAGAGATACGATGTGTGTGTGTGTGTGTGTGTGTGTGGTCCGGGTGCTGTACCTTGGTCCTGGAAGAAGTTGCTGTTGGAGGGGGTTTTGTGTGTGAACGGAGTGGAGACGAACTGAGCCAACATGGCGAAGTCTGTGGTACTGTTGGGACAAGCAGCCAGCGAGTTGAGGCTGTTGTAGCGAGCTCCCCACATGGTGCTCTCGTCAGGCATCAGATCCTGAGGAGTGTCCTGATCACAGAACACAGACAGCAGTTAGAAAAAGAGCAAAGTATTTCTGTTTGTAGTCTCTGTGCTGCCTTCAGGTACTGTAGGGTTGAACCAAGAGTTCGAAACTACGTCCATAATATAAATAAAATGTAGGCTAATAGTGATTGATGTTTCTACATTATTTAAGGTTTTTATACCAAGCATGGTGTAAAGGTTTAATATAATTACATTAGGTAATTTAAATAACATATTTGCTACTATAAAGTTCTCACTATGATTATTTTAGCTTTCAATAACTGGTTCAAAGACAGGATTGCCACCGACGCTCCCTCTCTCCACTGTGTGTAAAGGACCGGTAGAGTCTGGCAGTGATATCGGGTTTCCTTCATACTCACGTTGGGTTTGTTGGACACTGGGATCTCAGCCAGAGCTCTGATCGGTTTGGACTTCTCGACCGCAGGAGCAGCAACACTGAGCAGGGAGAAAGTAACAGAAACATTATTTACTTCTAATTGTTCATCACAGAATATAATAGGTAATAATATCAAATGTGTCTGCTTTCGTCAGATTGAGGAAATATTTAGTTTAACAGGATATGCTGAAGATGTTTTATTGTGTTATTTACCTCCCGTTTTCTTTGTCGGTGTCATCCTGGAAGACAGTGAACGCCGCTGTGGGCGGGGGCTGGGTGAAAGAGGAGGCGCCGCCTTCAAAATAGAAATTCAATAAATAAATGTAAGAAGAATTTAGTTAACTGGCAGAAAGCTGCAGGTAAAGTTAAAGTGGAAATAAGATCATTTATCAATCTTTCATCCACAATAAATTCAGTTCAATTAAAAAAGAATTAATAATTAGTTTTTCTATTTGTATCAACAGAAAATATCACAATAACCTCACAACTACAGAACAAACTGGGATGATCCATTTTCTAACTCTGCTCTAAATTATTATTCTGGAAGGTTTTACCAGAATAATATTTTCAGGTTCTTTCATTTTTGTGTTTGAGTTTTAATTTAATATAATCACACATATTGTTTCTGTCTTCCTTTTGGCTTCAAATTAAAACTCACCTGGAAGAAAACATGAATGCTTTTAGTCCTATTGAGCCTCTTGTGGCCAAAACGAGTATTACAACAACAAACACTGACTTTAAAAAAAACCTTTTTCACCTGAACGGCTTAAATACAGTGAGGGAAACTATTTAGATAAGACTGAAGATAATGAATCACCAGTATTTTTTCCTTACAGATTGTTTTTTAATCTTCAGTTTTTCTCATACTTTAGCTTCAAAACATGCTTTAATTTCCACTGCACTGATTGGACAAATTAAACAGCACTGACAACAGGCAGGATGATGTATTGATGGGAAAATCTAGATGGCCAATAGGTACCGAGGTTCCTCTTACAAACCTTTCTCCGCCTGTTTACAGAATATTTACCGTTTCTCGGGCAGCCGGCGTCGACCTCCCTCTCTGCAGCGTGGAGCACTGACGTGTTGTTGAACGGGTCCTCGAGGAGGGTCGGGGCCTGGAACATGTCCATTATCACATCTGGATGACACGAAACCAGATGTTATTCACTGTGAGACGACATTAAAAGTGCAACAGAAGTTGGTGCTTCACCTCCACCTGGAGTACGACAGAGCTGACAGCAGCAGTGAGCAGGAAGACCGGGAATAACCCCACAGCAGAAAGAGTGAAAGCAGAGAGGCTGTTGTGCTCACCCAGCGCCTCTCGTGTGTTGACAGTGGGTGACGGCAGCACCCTGGATGGTGTGGCCTGAACGTAGCCCAGTGAGGTGTTAGGAGTGATGTGAGACAGGTTACCTGTGCCGCCCTGTGACACTGACACAGACACACAGAGGAGGTTTGAGAACGCTCACAGGGAGCTGCGATCAGAGGACCAACAGCTGCTTTACTACTACTACTACTACTACTTACTGTTGAGCTTCTCCTCGGGCTCTGGCGGGTAGAAGACATTCCTGAGGGCGAGACGGAAGAGACCGCAGGTTAGAAGAATATTATACATCATCATATCTCTCCCTGCATTCATCCCTCTGCTCTAGAACAATGGAGAATAGTCTGAATAAACTCTGGTCTCCTCTTTCTGCTACAGATCTACTCACTGATGTGTGGAGGCGTTGTGCTCCGAGGGTCGACAGTTCCCCGAGCTGCTGGGTTGAACTCGATCGTCCCAACAGAGAACATCAGCGTCAGCAGCGGGGACGCAGGCGGGTCTGTGGAGCGACACGTTCATCTGCTCGAAGCTCACAGCCTGCTGAACCAACTGAGGCTGAACCGACCGAGGCTGGTCCGTCAGGGTCTGGGCGACAGACATGGATGTGGGTGCAGGTGCTGGTAAGTGGACGCTCCTGTCAGCCAGGGCCGAGGGACGAGGGGTTCCCTCTGAGCTCTGGGTGTCACTCTGCCACTGAGGAGGTTCGGGGGCGGCAGCGGCCTCGTGGATGAAGGTCGGCTCGGTGTGCAACCTCAAGCCGAGAGAGCGTCTGTTGCTCAGACGGTTGGAGGGTCGAGGGCACCCAAAGGACTGCTGGGTAGGATTGGGGTTCAGGCTGGTGGCTGTTTCTGCTACAGGCAGCTGCAACAAAGAGAACAGGTTTAACATCGTCTGCATACAGACAGAGCGGCAGCGGCAGTGTACCGTGGCACTGAATGCATCACTGAATCTGCAGTCTCACCCTCTGTGATGAAGGCTGGCTGCTTAGACCTCCACAGGCCTCCAGATCCTGGTTTAGAGACTCCAGCATAAGTTTAAACCTCAGGATGTCCTCCTCCTGCTCCTTCAGCATCTTCTCCTCTTCAAACAGACGTTAAAACAAAGTTAATAACTCTCTGCTGTTTTTAACTCTTCACTATCTCAGAGCAGATTTGGTTCTTACTGATTTCTCTCTGCTCCTTCTCCTGATCCTTCTCCTGCTCCTCCTCCTGCTCTTCCTCCTGCTCTTCCTCCTGCTCCTCCAGGAGCTTATGGAAGTATTTGGCCGCTCGGACCTCCTCGAAGCAGAATTCAGACCCCTCACAAACCAGCTCGTCCTTATTGTAGGCGGACACGGTGGGAACGCTGGGGCCTTGACTGGAGGAGAGCATCCCCGACGTCTCTGAGCGAGAGACTCTGGAGGATGAGGGAGACACACATTCATTATAATACCACATATTGGACACAACTGCTGATCTCAGCAAAGACCCAACAGTAACTCACGTTACGACGGTTCTACGAGCTGCTGGTTTCTGCAGACAGTCCACAGAGGCCTGAAACAGAGGATGAAGATTATTGTTTGAAAGCAGCCGTTGGGGTTATTAAATGCTCATTATGGACATTCAAAGACACACACCTTGTTTGGAGCCACAGGCTCACTGTGTGTTGGCATCTGATTGGTTAAATTGGAGTTTTGCAAAGGGTTCAGAACTCCTGCTTTATAAAGAAATTAAAATAAACAGTTATTAGCTCACACAATATACAGAAGACTTTTCATTTTTACAAGTAAATAAACTCTTACCTGATACTGGGGCCTGGACTCTGGTTCTTGTTTGAAACTGCCTGCAGATCAGATTATTTTAGCACATTACAGTTATTGTTGTTCATTATGGTGACACTGTGTTAGACATTGTAAGAGACATCGCGATATACTGAATGGTACAGTGGTGGAAACGCTGCATACGGGTGTGTTACAGATATTACAGAGAGGGGATGTAATGAGAACTAATACTTTGGTACCAAGTTGATGCCAGAGTTGTGAAAACGTGACGGTATACAGTACAGTACCACCGACACCAGGGATTGAATTCTTCTGGACCTCTCGGGGGGGCATATACAGACTGTGTTTCATAATTAATGAAAAATATTTTACACTTCTCTCTAACAATATGTTTTGCCCCGTTGCTTCAGTATCTCTCTCTCGGTGATCGATTAACTCGTGGACACTTTCTCCTGGCTCTCCAGAACCTCCATAGACTGATGAAACCTGCTAACCCCTTCAGGTCTCTGCTGTATGTACACTTTATACTTCTTTACCTGTATTCACTGAGAACAGTGTCGGCCGGCTGGGCTTGGTTCTCCATTGCTTTCTGGTAAACAGCATCAGCCTGTTCATTCATTCCCCTCTGCTCAAACGTCTGTGCCCAGGCCACATAGAGCGCGGCCGTCCTGGTGCCGATGCCCTTACTGAAGACATAACTGTACAGCGCCGTGGGGTCGGGGTAATAACTCGCCTGTAAGAATGAAGAGCGCTCACGTGAGGTTTCAGAATGACAAACTCTGGGTGCTTTCTAATGTGATATTACACTCAGACTTACACATTTGATGCAGTGGTTCACATATCTGAGGTCATTGGCGTATCGCTCGACATTCAGAAATATCTTCACGAGTCTGTCGAACACCAGGGACATCCCACTGCGAGCGTCTGCAGGTAGAGACTGCTCCAGGTAATCCACGAACCTGCACACACAGCGCAGCTCATTAAAGCTCAACTACCTGGAGAACTTTACACTGAAAGGGTCGGACAGGAAACGCAACCCAGGATTACAGCTTTAAAATATAACATCAGTTTAACTTTAAACAATGTACTTTGTGTGTGTGTGTGTGTGTGTGTGTGTGTGTATTAATGAGCTGATTCTGAATATTTAAATAAACTCACCTGTCCCACGGCTCCAGCGGGTCCTCACCTGTGTATGAGCTCAGGCTGCTCTCAAAATGCCTGAAAGAGTGAATAAATAGAGTATAAGTTAAATAAATAGA